CTTATAGGATGTTGGTGAGATAGATTTAACATGGTCACTTCTTGATTTCTTCCAATGACTGTTGGCTTTGCAAAGTAAAAAGACAGAACTAGAAGATTCCAGAAGAGAGAAACAATATTTTAGTATTTTTACTCATGTGCAGAGAAGTCCTTTTGGAAAGCAGAAGGCTGGGGCGGGTGGTAGGGGGATAAAAAGGAAATGCCTTGATAACACGATGAGGTGAAACGGTATTAAAGGACATTTGAGCCAGAATTAATAAGTTTCTCTTTGACTATCAGTAACAGACATTTCCCAGATGACTATTATGGGAATGCACTGGGTTGCAAAGAGGAAAAGGTGCAAAAATGACTACCGAGACATGCTAAGTCCCAGTCCTTGAAAAGCTACAAATAATTTGCAGATGTGGAAGCAAAATGCCAGACAAAATGAAAGGGACAAAATGTGAGCGCACAGAACTACAGACAGGTCCTGAATTGAGTGTGAGCTGAGGTTCAAAGGACAAGGATGCCCCACTGGGAAGGGAAAGTGAAGATGGAGGGAGGGAGAGGAACTTTCAGGGCAGGGAGACAGCGTGGGAGCAAGGAGGCTCTGGTTCCACATGGAGAACAGTCGTCTGGGGAGAGTGAGGACTGGGTTGAAGGCGAACAGCTGAGGCTGGCCACGATGACATGAAGAGAGAGTAGCAAGGGAAGGACCACCTTTTGCTGGGCTTTGGGTAATGGCGAGGAACATGGAGTCCAAAAAAGAAGCCAAAGTCAGAGGGTAAGCTCTAGGCCAATGTAGAGACAACACAGGAGGTAAAACAAGCAATATGAGCAAAAATAAGCAAGTAAGAACAAAATAAGCCAGGCCTGGTGGCTCATGCCTGTAATCCCAGCACTTTGGGAGGCTCTGAGGTGGGAGGATCACTGGAGCCCAGGAGTTCGAGACCAGCCTGGACAACCTAGCAAGACCCCTGTCTCTATAAAAAAATAGAAAAATTAGCCAGATGTGGTAGTACATGCCTGTAGTTCCAGCTACTTGGAAGGCTGAGGCAGGAGGATTGGTTGAGCCCAGGATTTTGAGGGTACAATGAACAATGATGACACCACTGCACTCCAGTCTTGGTGACAGAGAGAGACCTTGTCTCTAAAAAAAAAAAGAGAGAGAGAGAAAGAAAGTGAAAAGATGCATACTGTGGTGGTTGTGAGTAGGAAGTGGGGGAGCCCAAAGCTTGGATGCAGATCACGTCATAGGGCGATAGTCTCGGAGAAAGTCAGGAGCCTGGAAAATGGCGACGGACAGTTACCCTTCGTCATCTCTTTCTGACTTGAATTCTTTAGAAATTTCTCACCAATGCAAGTCGAGTGCAAGGTCTTTTTTTAGTCTAGTAATACTGAGACCTTCGGTGGGAAATGCATCACTGTTGCAGTTTCCAAATAATCTATTCGCATAGCTTTCATTTCTTCTTCACATGCAGCCAAGCCCAAAACACTCTGACTTCTGCTCCTTTTACTCTACTGAACTGGCTTCTCAGGAGCTACCACTCTTCAAATGTTTCTTTGGCACCAGAGTCCTATGGGCGCTGTCAGGGTTAGGAGAAATTTCTGGCTCTGAAAATCCCACCCCTCTCTCTCTCACTGAAGAAAATGTAACTTCATGTAAAACAAGCAAAATCATTCATAAAAAAAAAAGCTACATTACTCCCGTGCAGATACGTCACCTCTCACCATCTGCGACAATGCCTGATGGACTGAGACCCAACACTGGCGACACCGCAGGGAGCTGGCTGCTCCAGAATTCACCAGCCTCTTCTCATTCTTTATGGTGTCTACGACCCCTCCCTTATCTTCTTCCTTCTTGAAATCTCTCTTTGTAGGATCCCCGTGGCACTCCTTTTACTCCTTCTTTCTTCTTTGAAAGGGAAAAGGGGCCGGGCGCGGTGGCTCACGCCTGTAATCCTAGCACTCTGGGAGGCCGAGGCGGGCGGATTGTTCGAGGTCAGGAGTTCGAAACCAGCCTGAGCAAGAGCGAGACCCCCGTCTCTACTATAAATAGAAAGAAATTAATTGGCCAACTAATATATATATAGAAAAAACTAGCCGGGCATGGTGGCGCATGCCTGTAGTCCCAGCTACTCGGGAGGCTGAGGCAGGAGGATCACTTGAGCCCAGGGGTTTAAGGTTGCTGTGAGCTAGGCTGACGCCACGGCACTCACTCTAGCCTGGGCAACAAAGCAAGACTCTGTCTCAAAAAAAAAAAAAAAAAAAGAAAAGAAAAGAAAGGGAAAAGGAACTAGCCATCACCATGCTTTATATACCTCATTTATTCATCTCTACCATCTCAGGAGGTGCTTCAACACGCCCCAGCCTATTTGGTAATAAACCTGGGCTCAGAGAGGCTAAGTAAACTCCCTGAAGTCCCACAGCTGCCAAAATGCCCATTTCAGACCCCAGGTTTGGCATCCTCTTTGCCTAGATGTTTTTCTCCCACGGTACCTCTAACTAGGTCCCCAAGATTCTTAGTTCTCCTGAGTTGACGATGCTCTGTCTTTGATTATATTCACCGTCTTCAGCCCTCACTGCTATTGAAACTATTCCCAAGTCCCCACCTTGAGCTCTACTCCTCTCCCCTGCTCCAGGGCTGCACCACGGTCTGCTGGCCTTCTCCAGCAGGTTCCTCTGGCCCGCCTGGTGAGGTCAGTCAAGAGGGGAGATGAGACAAGTTCCAGGGCTGGTGACAAGGGTCAGAAAACAAAGGTGGCATGACTGCAAGCAGCAAGGGAGGGTGGCGCAGGTACCTACAGAGGAATAAATGGTATCTCTAACTTGTTTAAATTAGATAATTACACGCCCATGCCATTAGCATGCGTGTCTTGATGACTAATAGTCTAAACAGCACAACCACATGAAACGACTCCACAGTCTCTGCTAATCTGTCCCAGAACTGGGGAGGGGCCACGTGAGGGGTTTAGCACATTTTGGTTCTTAGGCAACTGCTTAAGGATCTGTTAAGATATGTATTTTTGGTTTTCAAAAAATGCTAAGATAGTGATTTTAAACTCTTTTGCAGACATCGATATTTTTAAAGAAAATTATTCATTTAAATGCATATTTCTCACTCTGGGAGGCTGAGGCGGGCGGATTGCTCAAGGTCAGGAGTTCAAAACTAGCCTGAGCAAGAGTGAGACCCTGTCTCTACTAAAAATAGAAAAAAATTAATTGGCCAACTAAAAATATATAGAAAAAATTAGTCGGGCATGGTGATGCATGCCCGGAGTCCCAGCTACTTGGGAGGCTGAGGCAGAAGGATCGCTTGAGCTCAGGAGTCTGAGGCTGCTGTGAGCTAGGCTGACACCATGGCACTCACTCTAGCCTGGGCAACGAAGTGAGACTCTGTCTCAAGAAAAAAAAAAAATAAATAAATGCATATTCCTACATCTCTGCAGGGATAGGTGTTCACTGTTTTGCAATGTTTGCTTTCTTTCCACCAAAATGAAGTTGATATGGTTATACACCATTACTTGAAATGAATAAGTAACAACTCAAGCACTAGGTCCTGATAAACCAGAAGGAAAGGTGTGAACTATTTTCATTCTCATGAACAGTCTTGTGATATGTACTAATCTCAATACATCGTAAAGCATTTACTTTCAACAAGCTTTATAGTAACTTACATTCTTGTTCTGCAGGTTTGAATCTGGTTCTCTAAGACAGTTTTTAAGAGTTAGAACAGATGGCAATTAAAACTATGGTGGTGGTTGTTTTTTTTTTAATTTCAAGGTTAAGTTTGAAAGCTGTTGCAGGCAGAACTTGAAACAAGGAGAAACGTATCACACTGGGACCTGATGCAGGAGCTACTCCCAGCTCTGCCACCAATGGATGCCACGGCCACCCCACCCTTGTGGTCACAACTCTCACCGTAGGTGTCTCAGCTTCATTCTACAAGGTTCACCTGGCTCAACTTGGTCTTGACCATTTCTTAAACTGTAGGGTTATAAGTATACAAAGTGGGAGGAATGAACTTGTTTACTGGATGCAGGAGCCAGGAATGGAACCTCTGGCAAGCCCCAGCCAGATCCCTTTTAGATTGTCTTAGTCTGCTAGGGCTCCTGTAACAGGATACTGCAGACTCAGTGGCTTATGAACAAGAGAAATTTATTTCTTGCAGTTCTGGAGGCTGGAAAGTCTAAGATCTAGGCACCAGCAGGTTCAGTGACTAGTAAGGGCCCTCCTTCTGCTGTATCCTCACTTGGCAGAACGGGCAAGGGAGCTCTCTGGGGTTTACAAGAACACTAATCCCATCACGAGGGTACAACCCTCGTGACTTAATCACCTCCCAAAGGCCCCACCTTGAAATCCATTCACATTGGGGATTAGGTTTCAATGTATGAATTTTGGGGGGACACATTCTGTCTATAGGTGACTCCTTCTCCCCTGGGATTTGCTCTCTTGTTTGGCCTATTCTCTTCTCATGGGCTGGTGGTAAAAGAGGCGTGGGAGAAACCTGGCCCCTGGACAGTGTGTGGCGTACAGCTTAGTCCATTTCCCATTCAGGCCTCAAGCAGCAATGCCATTCCATTCCTTTCCTTGAATTTATCTTTCCTAGTCATTAGAGCAGTAAGATCTAAATGGCCGAGTTCAGATCTTAAGCCCAGAGGAGAAGGGCCAAAGGGACCACTGGATCTTGTCTAAATTGTTATTAAAGCCCAGTAATTCTCACAGCAGAACCACAAGCAGAGTGCAGGCCTTACACAGAATGATTAAACCAGAATCTCTGTGGACAGGGCCCCAGTATATGTAGCTTTTAAAAGTATTCCAGGTGATTCTAGCATGCAACCAATGTAGAAAAGCCCTACTTTATGCCGTAAGACTGCCCATGGCTCAGGAAAAAGGAAGATTTTAATATTAACACTTGACAAAAGCTCTTCTAATAATTCTGATGTGAGTGGCAGAACATGTTAGATTATTTATAAAATATAAAAGGAAAGACAGTAAACAAAAAAGACATTATTGCTAATGTTTTGATTGTATTCAAAGTTTTATTTTTCGAACAAAAAACTTAAGACAATGATTTTAAATAACAAAACATGGTATATTCTAGACACTTATTGGAGCTTTTCTTTTTAAAAAGACAGTTTATTAAATTTGGACTTCTATAGTTCTGTTGTAATGCTTTCTTCAACATTTATATTAATTTTTACAATTTTATCACTCCAAACTTGCTAAACAAAGAATCACTCTGTGTGCTTAAGTGAAGCTTCACTTTAAGGAAATACTCCACTACCACATTAAACACACATACAGAACAGTCATTTTTTTATATTTACAAAACACAAGAAGTCTGTCCAGCCATTTTGGTTTTGTTGTTACATTGCCCATACTGAGATCAGCAAAAAGCTTACGTAATAAACAAGGTTTTACTTCAGCAGTGCAAAGGATGGCATCAACCAAACTTCATTAAACAAACCAACAGATTACGCACATGGTCAGCAAAATTCAACTCACAGAATAGTAATTCAACAAAAATAAACACACAGTGGGTCACAACTAGACTGGTTTTTACTGTGCAGTTTTCCTCAGGGAACAATACTACCCATTTCACATAAAGAAAGGAATATGCATCCAAGCCTTTGTTCATAAAAAATGCCCTTCAAACAATTCATCATAAGGCAAAAAAAAAAAAAAAAGAAAGAAGCAGTTTGGCCCAGAGAAAAGCTTTCACTATAATGTGTATACACATTAATAGATATATTGCGATTTAAACTGTGTATATAATCACTAGACAATTGAATGAATTGGCTCAGTAAAGTGAAAAAGTGTTCATTTTCTATAAATATGTAGTTATTGCTAATATGCTACACAGTATGCTTTGACATGGAAACTGTAGTAACTTAGAATTTGAAGCTGCCATATTGCCAGTGTTAGCCCTGCAGTAGGCCTTGGTAAGGACAACATGCCATCCGATCCTGAAGAAAAAGCAAAATTCCACCACAAAAAAACTGAAAGGCTTATGCACTGTCCCTTACATTTTTGCTTATTTTTTAAAAACAAAAACAAGTCCAGTTCACCACAAGTTAAGTACAACCTGACAAGCAAGTTTAGCGGCATGGTGGGGGGAGAAAAGTGAAGTACGGCATGCATTTACAACTAGCGCTCATCTAGTCTACTTTGTCATACAAACTGGAATACAAAAATCCAATTTAAATAAGACTAGACTAAAATAGTAAAAAAAAAAAAACACACACACAGTAGACTTAGTTTGATACTGATTAATTTTAAGAGTAAAACTCATCCTGTCCCCTCTTAATACTCTACTGCAATTTATTTATTGATGGCTAGAATATTCATTTACTTAAAAAAAGATATTAAATACCTGTATCATGAAATTACATTCTTATTAACAATAAGACATACTGTGTAAGAAAATAGCTCATGTGTGAAATGTGTCTGAAATGCATTTTTCCTTACAACTATCAAAACATCCACTCACACTAAAACAAAACCACTCCCAACCCCCACCCCTGAAAAAAAGTTAAGGAAAGATGGGGTGGGTCGGGTAAGGAGCAGGGAAGGAGAAGATTTAGCTATACTAATTACAGCACAGTGATTAACAATGGTTCAAGACAGAACCAACAAGAGTTGGTCAAAAAGATGCCTTCAATACACGGCTACAATTAAAAACCAAACTCAGCCAACTTTTGGTTCATTGCAGTTGAGACCAAAAAATATCACTTACAGATTCATATAAATACTCCAGCTCTTTTATTATTATTAGTTTTTAAAAGTTTTTCCGTTTGTTTCTGTAAGGCCTAGCTACCTTATTACAATTTATATTTGCTCTGCAACAACTGGAAGAGGTAGGCATAAAGCATGAAAAAGTTTCTTAGTACCTCGCTGTGGGCTACTCACTGCATTAATACCATTCACATTGGACATGAATAGTTATTACCTTCTGGTCTTTTCTAAACCCCCAAAGCTTGCTCCCATTTCACCCACAAATATTCTAAAAGAGTGTACTCACAAATGAGAAACTTTCTCTACTGAAGGATACTGTCATAGTGTTTGTTGCAGAGCATTCATATATATATATATATATGCATTTATTCATTTATTTTAAAAAAATAAACAACAAAAAACAAACCCAGGTTCCTAGAACCAATTCTCCTGATTTTCTACTTCCACAAAATAAAGTGTATCATTTGGCCAAGACTACAGATGTGTTGTTTTTTTTTTTCACAGACACAAGTGCCATGCAAAAATAAATTAAAGAACAGATACCAAAACATACATGTGATAAAACTACTGAAGGTAGATCTTTTAAAAGCATTTATATAAACATAATTTATAATACTTCTCTTTTTTTCCTTTATATACAGTCACAAAGCTGTAGTTATACATCTAGGATTTCCTCTGCTGTACCCCCACAGCGCAATCTGTAGCGACCAGTTCTCCAGCTTATGGTAGGGTCCCATAATGCCGACAAAAAAATGTATATTGTCATGGATTCGCGGATGAACCAAGCGACAGCATAATCAAGTTTTGAAAAACACAGCGTGCCACCCTAGAAATTAAAAAAAAAAAAAAAATTACTCACTCTCAGACTGAAGACAGTTAAAAAAAATGAAATTCTTGGATTTCACTTTTCTAAGTATACTACATAAAATCAAGTCTGTTTCCTTAGGTAATTTAACTACCATGCTACATCGTTTAAGAAAATGTTAATTATTAGTAGAAGCAACACGAAAATAACAACTATCCTGACATATTCTTAGTTTGAGTACTCACTGATATGCTGAACATTACAGTTTTGGAGTCTTAATAAAAATGACTGTACAATTAACTGAAACATACAAATCAAGTTAACTTTTACGTTAACATCCTGCTAGAGAAAGTAATGTTTATTTTTATTTTTTTAAGAATTTGAAAGGGTGTAGTGAAGAGGCGAATTTGATTTTCTTTTTTATTTTTGAGACAGAGTCTTGCTCTGTTGCCCCGGGGAAGGGTGCAGTGGTGTCACCATAGCTCACTACAGCCCCAAAGTCCTGGGGCTTAATCGATCTTCCTGCCTCAGCCTTCCAGAGTGCTAGGATTACACAGGTGTGAGCCACGAAAATGATGTTTAAACCTGATATTAACCTTCAATGGGAAGCTGAATAAATGGCTCAGATAGATTTTCTTCAACCTTTTCTATATTAAAACAGTTTTAATTCCACCAAATGACTGCCAACCTTTTCAAGCCTTTCCACATACCTGGACACCCCTGAGTTGAATGTAGTCAAATATAAACCATGCCAGGCAATGACACATGAAAAATACCATAATATCCCATCTGAATACATGATGGGCTGCCCATCCAATAATTAAACTGGCAACAAAGCATTCTGAAATTGGTTCACAAATTATTGTAGCAGGAAGCATGTTAATTCTCAATTTGGTCCACCTAAAAAAAATAAGAAGGATTTTCTTTAAAACAACAGCCTGGTTACAAGACTAATTGTTCCCTTCCCAAAGTAATCAACTTTTAACCTTGTTATATAGTCTCTTCTCTTTAAACATCTTTAAAAATGAATCTCTTTTCTATTTTTATTTAGTATATCAAAGAAAAAAAGTCTATAAATTCATTTGTATGGCCCATATTCTCAGGAACGTAGATCATAAAATTTTATCAAAGTACAGAAAATTAGAAAATAGAGATCAGCATATTAAAAAAATTCAAAGTTTCAACATCTTTTTTTTAATGCTTTCAGTCTAACACAGCAAAGAAAATATATTTAGACATTAAATTTACTTTAATATAGAAATTAGACTCTATTTTCTGGAAGTAAACTAAACTCTGACCTTTAGATCTAGTTTTTTAAACCATATGAGACCACGTATAAAAATCCCTCCTCCCTTTTCTTTTAACAAACTATAAAAAAGTCAGTTGATTTACCTGATCATTCTGGATTGAAACTGAGAAATTGAATATGAGCCAGAGTTTTGCATTGCAACTTGGGTGGACATTGCAAACCTCCAACCTCTGAAAATTAAGACAATTATAAAATAAGCTATGATGATGAATACGTGTAAGCATAACTGGTTATACATTCATTAATCACTGTAAAGAGTGAGCCCAGTCCTCAGGATTAGCACACTATTTAACGTATACTATACTTATGGGTGTTTTAGCAATTACGTTGGCTCATGACAGCACTAAGAGCTGAAAGAAACTATAACCTCCCGACTTTACAGTTAAGAAACACGTAAAATATAGTCACTCTGAAATTACTAAATGGAGAGAGTTCTGTATTTAATAGTTTAGTCGCTGATGACTACTAACCAAACAAACAAACAAAAAATTGTGCGTGTGAATATTCAACAAGAAATGTAAACAAAAAGTAGCATAATGTATCTCACTAACAAACCAAAAACCATATGATCACCATTAGGAGAATTTTTTTTTTTTGAGACACAGTCTCGCTCCATTGCTCTGGCTAGAGTGCAGTGGTGTTATCATAGCTCACTGCAACCTCACATCCCTGGGCTCAAGCGATCCTCCTCCCTCAGCTTCCCAAGTAGTTGGGACTACAGGTGCATACCACCATGCCCAGCTAAGTTTTCTATATTTTGTAGAGATGGGGTCTTGCTCTTGCTCAGGCTGGTCTCAGAGTCCTGAGCTTAAGCAATCTTCCGGCCTTGGCCTCCCGGAGTGCTAGGATCACAGGCATGAGCCACTATGGCTGGCCCGTCATGAGAATTTTTAAAACATACTTCAATTTTTAAAACTACATTTTGAATAAATTGCCACACAAGGCAGCAATCCCCTTTAAAATCAAACAGGTATTTTGTGATAAATGCTAGTCAATCACATGAATCTTTAGGTAGCTTCTTAGGAAAGCATTGAATAATTTACTGAGAAATTTCAAAATTTAAAATGATATTCCTTAAAATTTCACCTACTGGCTTATGATTGCTTTTAATATACCCATCACCTAAATTGCTGATAGTTTTAATTCTCATACAACACATAGAAATTTACATCTATAATAATGAAAATTCACAATCACAGAGAAGCTTCCTTTAACCACTTTAAAACACAGTAAGTTGAAAAGTTTGGAGGAATGAGAACATTTACTTACTTCATTAGTACATATTTGTAATTATATAATTAGAATTATAAACTACTTTCTAAAATTATTAACCTACTCTGTACTAAGTAGCAAAAAATAAAATAAAAAAGCCCTAATCCATGGGTTGAACAAAAAGAATAAATCAACAGAAGTTAGGTAATAAAAATACTAAGGCTTAATTTAGTTTTCTTACCGGTCAGCTATAGCTTTGGCCATAAAGTAATCTTCAGCAATGTATTGAGCAAAAGCTATAAGTCCCCCTGCTTGATCTAACACGTCCTTTCTCATTAGGCAAGACATTCCTGTTACACATTTGAAACCAGTTACGTTGGCAGAGATATAGTACCTCGGATGTGAAGTTCCAAAATATACCTGCCCCCAAAACACAAATGTATCCAATTAGAATATTATGCTAAAAGTATGATGCTTATTAATTTTTTCCTAATGATCTTTTAAAAATATAATTGAGTAAATATCCTGTTATTCTTACATATACTACCTGAATAAAAAGTGGTACACAATAGAGTTTACATAAAGCAGTCAGTAGAAATTTAAAGATTTAAGATTTATCCAAATAAAACTTAACTTGGATACAAAATAAGACACACAAAAATATCACTCATTGACATATAAAATATAAACAAATATTTAATGTATCCTATTTTTAGGGTGTTCATGAAAAAATATATACACATATCTACTTATTTTATTTGGATCAATATACCTTTGCACGTGTGTGTGTGTATACATGCATAACAACATACATACATACACACATCACCTATAGGTATATCACGTCCCCGAGTCACTGAGATCCTTCTCAATTTCCACAGTTTTGTTTTTCAATGTATTTTTCATAAATATGACGGATATTAAAATTCTATCTCCCAACTCATACTGCCCTTTCTCCAGATATACTCTGAAGTCATGAGATATACAATCAATAAATCAATAGTAGAAAAAGATTGTCATCACTCCAATTATTAGACATAAAATTGTACTTATTATTTATGCTTTGAACATGCTGCCCTTTCTAATAAGCTTAATATAAAGAGTAGTGATCTTTCTCAATGGCAGGGGTTGCAGACAGTCCAGAACAAGAGAATTTTGAGGGGTGATTATCATTCTTGCTTCCCACCCCAAGCCCTGGTATCTGTGGGACTGAATGGAACCTAACTTCTAAGACCAGAAGCACACAGCTTAATTTCTCATGCCATTATTAAGTGAGATTTTAGGAATGAGGTGGGACTAGGGACTGAATTGAAGGCTCCCAGGATTTCTTAAAAGACTACAATGATTACTCTGGCATACCTCCATTACTCCAAGTCAGGCAGAGTGACTTTTAGGGATTAAACCTACACTAAGGGAGTGGTATATTCTGGAAGATGTTTATCATTGACATATACACCAACTTGGATATTTCTAAGAAAAAAATTCAATGTGGTATATAAGAATATACAGTATTTTATTTTAAAGTGTATACCCCAGGCTTTCTTTTACTTAACAAAAACTCTGACATTTAATGATTTCATGTAGTAAGACAAATATATTCACAAGTAATACTAAGAGCTCATGGTTCAAGTTGCCAAAGGTCAAATGCCAAGTTCTCACAAAGTACCTTTACCCTTTCAGATCTGTGGCAATCATAAGACTGCAATTCAAAGGAATATAAACACAGATATGTTTAAGAGTAAGCTGATATATTTAAAGGGATACGTGAAACCACATATCCCTCCCTTAAAACCTTAAGACAAGTTTTTCCTCCTAAATGTTTAACAGTACACGAATGATTAAGCATTGGACATTTATATGATAGACTATGATATAGCCAATAAAATTACTTTTATGAAAAGTTATTAATGATATGGCAAAAGCTTATGAAGTGACAAAAATAAGATACAAATTGCTTTTAGAATACTATCTTAATTATGTTTTTTAAAAGGCATGTAGGAAAAAAATCCAAAGTGCCTAAATGGTAAAACAAAAATAAACAACCTTAATTTTTAAAAACAGTAACTTCCTCTAATTGGTTTTTTGCTTCTTCTATTTTCCTATAATTTATAGTTTCCCATACACAAGTTAATATTTCTATTATAAGTTGAAGAGAAAAAATTAGAAGGAAAACATAAAATAAGCTCCTCAGACAATTATTAGAAGCCTGCTTTAAAAGAAAACAAATGGATTTTATGATGACTTATGTGCACAAATTTCCTTTTTTGTATATATGAAATACTTGATATTTTAAAAAGGTTCTTTTCAGATTTGAATCTTTGATAGAACAATATAATATGTCCTTTTATGCAAGTCAGTAGTCTAGAACTGAAAGTGAACACCATAAAGGAAAAGAATATACTTTGTTTGGCTGGCAGGAAGACCACAAGACATTTCCTGTGCACTGCTGTTCACTGGCACAGTGCAGACAGGAGCCCAGCAATTTCCTCACTAATGAAAACAGCTGCTCTCAACCTGAGTATTCTAGAACACAGCAGGTTCCCAAATGGACTTAATACAGTTCCTGCAGATGGCATGTCCCAACTCTCAGACTTGGAATATATCTCAAGCTTCTGGGAGGTTAGGGGTCTGATAACAAGAGTATTATTTATAACCACCATACTTACCTGTTCTAATGTGGCAGCAAAGCCCTGTCTGTCTGCTACATAAGGCAGCCCATGAACCAAGCCTACTTTTTCTGTCATTTGATTAACCATGTCAGTAAGTGTGTCTGGAATTACTACAATTAAAAAAAAAGGGGGGGGGAATGGGAGAGGGGGAGAGAAAAAAAATTTCTTTTTAGTAAAATACCCACTAATGTCAAATATATTTTGTGAATTGTTACTACAGTCTTAATAAATTCTTCTAAACATTTGGATCTAATAAAATGAATCTCAACCACCTTTCTGAGCAGAATACAAATTTTCAAAAAGGCAAAATTTATAAGCTAATTTACTGTGTACATTTTCAGCCCAGTATATTCCTAATATGTCCCAGAGACAAGAAATACCTTGAAAACATTAGCCCCCATGTCAGAACCTCCAAATTGAAATAAGACAACGTGTCCTACTGGCAAAGAATCAGGAGGTCAAAGGACCTCAGTGCTCGGCTGACTTCTCGACTCTCCAACCACCGGAAATGAGCCTCTAGTTTCTCAGTGGGTTTACGTATCTGATTTCATAGGACTGCTAACAGGAATGGACTGTGACTATATTTAACAGAGATTTATACATGGAAAAACATAAATATATGATAGGGAGCAATGTAAAGAATGAACATACTCTCTGACTATGAGTTGACAGAGCTGTCATGTTCCTGGATTAATTCATAGGGGTCCTATACTTACATTAATTTTCAAATTTGCATTTTAAGCTAATAAAAAATTTTTTAAAATCACTCTATCTTCATATAGCAAACATCTCATCTCACATCATCTTACGTGACTTCATTGCCCACAGGGGACATCTGTCAATGTCTGCAGACATTTTGGGTTGTTACAACTGAGAAGGGGGTGCTACTGTCATCTGGTGGGTAGAGGCCAGGAATGCTGCTAAACATGCTACAGGGCAGTCCCCACAACGAAGAATTACCAGGCCCAAAATGTCAATATTGTTGAGGTTGAGAAACATAAGGTAATTCGAATATTAAAACAAAAAATTGTTTAACATTGAAACTACTATAAACATAAGGGTTTAAAAGGATTGATAAATGTATTTTCAGATTGCTTTTGGCATTTTGTCATCAAACAGATAGTTTTATAAAATAAATAAGAAAAACCTCACCTCTTATTCCACTATCACAAATCCATATAAGATCATACTTCGCAACTTCATATCCTGGCATTAAATTATTAATTTTAGGATTAATGCCAACCTTTTTGCCACCTAAAAATGTAAGGATAGGGTAGTTAAAAATTTATGTAACATTAAAAATATTTTCCAGGATAAAGATACAAGCTAGAGAGAAAAGACTTGCACATTTAATAATTTAAATGAACATATTTTCACATTATTTTTTACATTCCCTATTATTCATAATAATATATTTAGGAAAAAACTGCTCATTCTTAAAAGTAGAATTATATCATTTACCTTTGAAAATTCACAGTTTCAATTGTTCTAATTCTTAAGTTCTTGCATTAATAGTTAAGTATGAGTCAATATTTAAATGACAATTGTACAATATGGTGACTACAATGTACTGTATATTTGAAAATTGCTGAGAGTAGATTTTTCACACAAATATATGATAAGTATGTGACAGAATATATAATAACAATGTGTTGTATACTTGAAAATTGCTAAAAGGGTAGATTTCTCACTACAAGTAAATGATAAGTATGTAAGGTAATACGTATGTTAGTTAACTTGGCTTAGCTATTCCACAATGTATATGTATTACAAAATATGTTGTATACCATAAACACATACAAATTTTGTCAATTTAAAAAATGGTCCTAAGGAAAAAAAAGCTATAGAAAATCATTTTGCAGCTAGGATAATTAAAACAGCAGAGAAATTCACCAATCAAGTGAGATTATATTTAACAGAGATTTGTACACTGAAAAACACAATACATAATAATAAATAGTTTAAGATAGCAAATGTGAAGAATGAACTTAATCTCTGACCACGAGTTGATAGATTTGTCATGTTCCTGATTAATTCATAGGAGTGCTACAGTTATAATTTTCAAATTTGTGTTTCAAACTAATAAAGAATTTTAAAAATCATTGTCCTATCTTCAAATAAAGCAAACATATTATTTTCCTTTTTTTCAACAGTCCATTCCAAATGAAGATTTTACATGACTTTATTGATTTTTGAGAGAGATCATAGCAGGACTATGTAAAAAAAAAAAAATTTAATAGCAAACACACCTCTACAAGTCTGTAGAATAAGTCTGTAGGCTTCTGGACAAATACTCTTTTTCCAACACAATAAAAGTGAATTCTATCACTCACTCTCAATTATAGCCAATGAGATAAAGAAAAGTCCCTACATTGAAATTATTAATGATACAAAAATAACAGGCTCTCATATTGATGAGTAATTTATAATTGTTTTATGTTGTTTTGTTTATCTTAAATATGGAAAAAAACAATCCTTTTGTTTTCATGACTTTTCTCAAAAGGATGGAAATAATTTTCATTACTCCAACAAACATACTTAAAGCAAACATGGCTAACACCTTAACCTATAGTTTATTGCAGAGAAGATTACTGATACTGGATACTATCAAAGCAAAATGGTTACGATAGACTCATTTGTTACTTACCTATAAACAATCTAGCATCAACATTTGGATATTTTCCAAGAAGCTTCTTACATACATCAATAGCTGGATCATCATGATCTTGTACACAAAGGAGTACTTCATACTAGACAAAGAATACATTTTATGTAAATTAACCTCTTTAAAAAAAGAACTCACTAGCACTTACTGATTAAACAAAAAGCATAAGAAAAACAAGCAATTGTACACACACAGATTAAAAGTTAAGAGAGTATTCATACAATGGATGCAAACACTTAGGATAACAAGTGTTGCTTTAATGAAGAGAAGCTTCTCCGGAACAGGGGCCTATTTGCAAGTAGAAGGGATATGGAAGAGATTGGCAGTACTGTAATTAAAGTCTGGCTATTCTCAGATAAGCATGGCCTAGTAATTAAACTGGATCCCAGGCTTGGCCATGGCCTTCATTATGGAGCTTACTAAATGCTCAAAGGGTAAAAAGCAACATAGACAGGAGGTAGAAAAGACACAGCCTCTGGTTCCCCAGAAGCTTTGTCTCTGTACTTAATATTATTTCATAAAGGTGCAACAAATTACATATAAAAATCCCATTATGATAAATTTAAAGGGCTTTCCCAAATTCTTCACATGAAAAGGACAAAGTTAAGATTAGATTTTTTGGTATGTGTGTGTGTGTGTGTGTGTGCGCATGTGTGTTTATTTTTTGGAAACATGGTCTTTCTCACTCTATCACCTGGGCTAGAGTGCGGTGGTATCATCATAGCTCCCTATAACCTTGAACTCCTGGGCTCAAATGATCCTCCCCCCTCAGCCTCCCAAGTAGCTGGAACTACTACAGTTATGCACCACCATGCCCAGCTAATTTTGCTTGTATTTTATAGAGACATGGTCTTGCTATGTTGCCCAGGCTAGTCTCAAACTCTAAGCCTCAAGTGCTGGGATTACAGACATGACCAACCACGCCCAGTCTATTGTATAATTTTTTTTTTGAAACAAAATAGAATTTGACTGGACATTTACTATCTTAAAAAGCATGCCTTATAACTATAAAAATGCCCAGGATTTTATTTCGCCTAGTGCTCTCTTTTAGTCTTTAACAGTAAATTAAAAAAGTCATTTCTTGACACTTGATTGGCTGTGTCAAAATTACCCTGAGACATTAATTTTAAAAAGAGAATTGGGCCCTATTCTTAGACTTTTGAATCAGAATGTCTGGGGTGATTCTGACATGTAGCCAGGTTTATAAAAGCTTGAGCTAAACCTCTACATTACCATTCACTAAACTACTAAACTTTTAAAGCATTTGCTTTCACATATAAAGATGTTACTCTATTATTTTGTGGGATATGTATTCTAAGTAGTAATTTTTTTCAGAAGTCGTGATAGATTCATGCTGACTCAATGACAAATTTCCTACCAAATCTTTCTAAAACTGGTTGAACATTTTTAAGCACAGAAGGGAGTTTAATTATATCCATGAAAACATAACAAAGCTATGTGTTCTAAAAAATAAAAAAGGCTAAGGACACAACTTGTTAAGTGTCTAATATGCTGGGACTAACTTGGCTAACGAGAAGGCCTGTTTTATTACTTTTACTGATAAACATACACAAGTAAAAAGTGATAAATGTTCACAGTATCTTTGACCATAACATTATTGTTTGCCTAATACATTTTATGTCAGCAAAAAATTGACAATGAAGAAATTTGTGGTTGAGCACAAAAGGAAGTGAAAAAAGTTTTTTCAATAATTGAGTTGATGGGGAAAACTATGTATACCTTCCTCATAGTTTCTACCTACTGTTGTTATTATATATTCTATCCAGTGTCTACTTTTAATGACGAGTGACCAAAATTGCCACTCAAGAAGTACTGAAACCAACTTGACAGTTATGGGGTCTCCAGAGACCAGTTAAAAATCTAAGACTAGAAAGGGAACCACTTCTACCCCACCTCTGAAATTTCTCAAAGGGTTGACTCGAAGTCATATAAACTATCAGCCTTGCTCCCATCTTGACTCTCAAAACAATGTTTTTTTTTTGAGTCACCAAAAGGCAATGACCTGAAGAGTAAAGATTGGAAAGGTTAAGCAACTTTCCTAAGGGCAAAAGTAGCAATTAGCTTTCTTATCATGGTAAGCTGCTCAGTCAGGCTAGCTCTTAACAGTTCTTTGTTTTTCCAAACATAGCATAGTTTCTTTAATGCTTTTATAATTTATGCTGTTTTGCAAGTATGAGTGAATGTAGTGAATGGAAATGTTTATAAGCAATATAATTCCATAAAATATAATAAAAAAGCTAATCTTAGCTTTTTTCTCCCCCTAGCAAGAAGAAACTTTGTAAAATATAGTACTAGAGATGTACTCAATGGGAAGAAAAAAGCTATACTAGGTTATAGTAAAAATTTTTTCATAAGTATATGATGTTAAGTAAGGGAGGTTATAAGTAAAGGAGGTATAGTTTACCTTTACTCAGATGCAAGGTTTAAAGTTTTAAATTTTATTGATTACACTTCTTAAACTTAATTTTTAATTAAAAACAAATACCTTCTGATTAGTGAGAGTGTAAATAAAACTCGATTCACATTATCCAAAAAATGTCCAGACTCTTAAACACATAGCTTTGATTTAATTGTTTCAGATACTGCAAATTACACCAAATTGGAGGTAGCTTTCCAAGTGTTTTCTAAAGTATCAGATTTTAACCAGAAATCATTTTTCACCTCTGTGTCTTCATAGTTTGAACAAACATTTTATTTGCTAGGAATCTCTGTATTAAAATAGTTAAATCATTCTAACTGCATTGCAACTGGCAAAATGCAAGACAGTAAATTGGTTAGAGGCTTTCTTAGTTAACACAAAAATAACATTTCAGGTAGTTTTATACTATTTAAAGGATTAGGCATAAATATACATGTTCGAAAATATAGTTTGTGCTGAAAACATTACACCTTTAAAATATTTCAAGAAAACATTTACTTTATAAATCTGCAAGGGATATAAGGGATAGAAAATTCTGCTCTAAATGGGCAGTATGAATATATGAAATAACCCCCCCTAGTAATTAAGGTAAGAAGTTTAGCTTCCATAATAAAATCTTTGGTAAGGTTGCTATGCAAATAGCAAAACTGACAAATTTTTCCATTTTCATTTCAAATAGTGAAATGGCCAAGAACAAGAGACGTATAAAGAATATCTACAAACTAAGAACGTTCAGCTGTTAAGATATTTAAGAACTGAATATCTAAAACTGTAATAATCATGTTACTTTTTTGCATTTATGAATAAATTTAGATGCATAAATACCATTAGATTTAAATATATAAACAATATTATACGTCCTCCTTGAGTTAGCCCTGTAGACATTAGCAATATAAACTTTTTACTGCAGTAAACAAGATAAAATATTCTCTTAAAATAGAAAAATGTTTTAGTATATGAATCAATTATATTGCATATCAAGTGGGATATCTTGAATTATTTATAAATAACTACACATCAAGTTGACAGAAAAATTTTATGATAATAACACTACAGTAGAATATAAATTCTACAACAGAAAGGACTTAAACTCCAAATGCCTAGAACATTTGCAGGCACAAAGTAAGTGATGAACATGCCTGTTAAATTAACACATTTGGTCCTAGGTAATGTATGGGTAGAAGAAGACAGATGCCAGGAAGAGGAGTTTTTTAAGAAAACTGCTCTCAATTCAAAGTTTTGATAAGTAATGTAGAATATATGTGCTACCTATTCTCAAGAACTTGATGGTTTATACAGTTTTTCAATTCTATTTGGCAAATTCCTAAATCTTTCAGACTTAGGCTTACTACTACAATGTAAACAAAACTTGTATTAACAAATATTAACAAGTATAACATGTATCAAAACTTGTGCTTGATCTTTTTAAATTCTTTGTTAGAAGACTAGTTGGTTAGAGAAGCAATACATCTTAAGGACAGCTACGCCACTGACAATGAAGAACCTAAAACATGGCACTGGGCTTGTAACATCTGCAAAAAAGAAAGTCTCACTCTGTTAATAACTGATTGTTAATTTAAATATTCTTCACATGGCCAGGATTTATTGAAGTAAAGCCAGCAAGCCACTTCAGATGTAGATTGCCAAAACTTCCTGCTACTGCTGAGTCTTTCCTCAAATCTCTTTTATGCAGATGCCAAATGAGTACTCAATTTTGAGGAAAATGAATTGTATCACTTTTTCATTCTTCTATTTTTTCCCCCCAGGAATAAGTACCAATATAAAAGTGGATTTGTAAGATACTTAAAGCATAGAAGTCTTTCAGGGCAATTAATATAGTCTCAACAAAACTAAATCCTAGAAATTCTGAACAAGTACCAGTAGTAAATCCTCTTGCATATGTCTAAAATTAAATACAATTTTAAAACTTTAATATATATTCTATCTATTCCCAAAATGACCTACGAAGTTCCAAGTCAAATAACAGAGGAAAAAGTTATATCCAGAATGAAAAGGTTTCCATTCTTTTGTAAAATAATGTTTACACCCAACCAAAAACAAATTTAAAGTGCACTGGGCCAGGCAGTCATGTATTTATTTTGTGACTATTTGCCTCCTTGGTGACACAAACATCTCATCTGTTCACACTCAGATTTGTGTGATTTCTGTGGTTCAACTTTGGTCTTTCGTGGAACATTTGCCATGGTGTTTAGTTTTGTAAAAAGCAAATAAAATGCTATGAGATCAAACATTTCCCTTCAATTGCAGGTACTTTGCACTTTTCCTCTGTTTTCCAAATTTTCTATGTACACATCTAATAACACTTTAATAATTAGGAAGTAAAATTTGTGTACTCAAAAATAAAATAAATAAATAAATAAAAGCAATCTCCTCCATATGCTATTATTCATTTTATAATGAGTATCAAAATAGCTTTCTCCTCAACCTACTTAAATGCCTCAATGACTTAAATGGAAAAATAACTACTATATGTGAAAACTAGAGTTCTTGAGATAATCCTGAACTGTAATTTAAAAAAAAAAATCTCTTGATTCAGAAGAAGAAATTACGTATAGAGTCATCTAAAATGTTCATAATTAATGGATACATATGTTCCTGGAGTTGTTTCTAAAAATTCTTTCTACAACTAAAACCCACACTTCCTCAACAATTTAAATCTCATGACTATCCCCTCACAAGTGCTACAACATATAAATTCCATAACTAAGTTTTAAGAGTGGCTGAATGGGGAAGGGTAGGATGATGGTTAAAAAACTGACATGTGAGATTCCACAATGATAAATGCATAAGGTTCTAAGCTATGCTCTAAGACTTATTCATAATCAATGAAAATATTCTTTCATTCATAAAGATAAATTCTCCCTTGCATTTACTTATATGGGGCTTAAAAGACTTCCATTTTTCTCATTCCAAAGCTTATTTTACAATTAATTTTATTTATATCATTCCTTTTGAATTATAAAACGCCATGTTTTAGTTTGAAAAAAAAAAACACGAGTATCTACAACTATGTTATTTTTTAAAAATTACATATTTAGTTGAATACATGCATATAATTTAAATCTCTAAAACTAAATATATATAAATACACACAAACTAGAATATATATTTTTTTGCTTCAAATTGACTTCTAATACCTAAACTCCAAAACTTCCAAGGTAATAATATAAAAACACTGAAAAATAACTAATACTCATGTTGTCTACCTAATTAATTTGTGCTGCCTTAAGGCTATCTCATCTGTGTTTTCCTTATTCTTTTCATTGGTGCTACCATGAAAAATAAGGGCTAAAAGGCAAAAAAAAAAAAAAAAAGCGTGAAAACCTGTCACCACAGGAAGTGTGGTGTGTATGTCACCTTCCCTCAGACTACTTGGGCTACACTGTCCTAAAAAATTAGAAGGGAAGACTCTCCGAGTAGCAAAAATTGGTATGGAAAAACGGAGGCAATAGGGTGAAAATTGAGGCAAGTGAATAGAGACTGCAAAGGGAAAACGAAACTGTACTGAAAATCAAGTGGGTAGAAATTTAAAGATATATTCTTCTCACAAGTTATCTACTGCTAAGATGTCCTTTCAAAAGCAGTGCCTCAAATGGGCAATTTTTAAAAAGCTGCAGTAAAGTACAAAAATCAAAGAATATTAAGTTCTAAGAAACTACAGGTGGAATTCTAAAGGAAAGTGATAAAAAGATACTTCCATCTCAAGAAAACGAGAAGATCTCCAATGAAGGGAGTTTATAGATTGGGTTTCTGGATCTACAGATTATCTAAATGGTATGGGCAATACCATTAGTTATTAAAAATCAGAATAATAAATTAAAAATGAGGCAAGATGAAGTCCTACTTTGCCACTGACTGTGACAAGAAAATGGGATAACTGACTGTAATCTATTCTTGGCACAAAGCCAGTTTCTCCAGGGAATGTTTACTTTTAACTGTCCTGTATCCTATTGCACATTGTTTCTCACTACCCTATTGTTATTGTTGTTTTTTTTTTTTTTTCCCTTAAGAGACAAAGTCTCTCTCTGTTGCCCAGGCTTGAGTGCAACATCATGATCATAGCTCCTTGTAGCCTCAAACTCCTGGGCTCAAGCAATCCTCTAGCCTTGGCCGCCTGAGTAGCTGGGACTACAGGCATAAGCCACAGTACCTGGTCCTTCTATTGTTCACACGTAACACTCATGGAAGAAAATTTTTATATTCAAACTACCAGGCACTTGACAATGTCTAAATCCCAGGAGGTTGACTCAGGGATTTCTACTTCAGATGGTTATAGAGGTTGTTAGAAAGGAAATTTATACCCTTCCCAAACCCCATTTCTGTCCTGTGATGATGACAACTAAAGCTTACATTTTATGAAGCCAACATCATAGTGAATTTTTAATATCTTCACCTTATACAATGTTAAAATTCCTCTTTAAGTGTTTACCATAAGAGAAAAAACAAAACAAAACAAAAAAACATGGTCTAGCCCATTCCTAAAGAACACAACGTCGTACTTACTTTGGGATAATCCAATTCAAAGAATGTTTCCAAGTTGTTGATTAAGTTAGGATCTACTCCTTTCAGTGGTTTCAGAAGGGAGACCCCTGGGAGCTTGCTATATGGCTGTTTGTCGGTTGCCTTCTTGTTGAGGTGTAATCGGCTAAAAAGCAAATGATGCATAAATTATTTCTAGAAACTAAATTCACATCAAGTCAAATAAAGTATGTACCAACCGATCAATAATTTACTTAATTCTAAGTTAAAGTTTTTAAAGTTGACATCTTTCTAAAAGGAGATCTGAAAATGAAGGGAAGTAGAACCAGGTAAGCTTCTAGTTTTAAAAAACAGAACTAAGCAGAATGAATGTTCTAAAGCCAGAACCTAGATGTACTCTCTGTTTATTGTTTATTGCTGTACTTGCAAAACTATGCTAGGCATAGAGAGGGCATTCAATAACTACTTAGTGAAGGAACGAATGACAGTGTTATTAGCTCACACACGAACTGCCCTTCCTCTCAAATTGCCAAAGTGGCTAAAGAACTATAAAAACAGGTAAAATGAAATCCCTATCTGCACCAGAAAAATATATGGAAGGGTAACCACAAATTTCTACAGCAGTCAGATAATACACAATTAAAAGAAGTGCCAAGCAGCCTACATGGGAAGCAAGAAAATGGGATAACTGGGACTCCCAATAGTAATAAGCTCAGAATGACAGGGGTAGAACAGAGGGAGGCTGAAAGAAAGAAAGAAAAAAACTCAGCATGAGAAAAATGTCTGTTAATTACACTGAAAGATCTGTCAGTGCCACCAGTCCACAGACAAGGTGGCCAAGGTTTTCAAGGGTGTGGCAGCAAAGGGCTCCTAATGAGGGAAGCCATGACACTTAGTAAAAAGAGAACATGCCCCAGATAGCATCAGGCTGTTGCAACAAAAAGAGATGCCATTTAGCACAGTGGTGAAGTTCCTAGAGGAAGTCATTTCCTCTCTGTTTCTCATAAGTACATTGCAAGTACTTTTCATACGTAAGTCTCTAAGCCTTCAACAGTAATTAGATGCTAGAACATTCATGGGTCCGTCTGCAAGATATTCTGAGACACATGTTCTTCCACATTTTAACATCTCTGACATCAGTGGCATCTTAACAATTGCTGCCAGCCAGATGGCAGTTCTGACTTAGTATTGTGAGAACCAACTAATTACATCTAGATCAAAAAACACTAGTATCAATGCATCTTATATTCAATAAAATCCACCATTAACCTATGAATGACTTTTGAAAGTAGACCAGTACCACTTCCATGGTGGTACCACCTCCATACAGTACCACCATCCAGACCAGCTGCCCATGGGCTTGTTCCCAATGAATTAAGGCAGGGGTGTGCTGCAGCAAACACCTAATGTTTCAGATAAGGCCATATAGACATTTTTACAGAAGAAAAGCAGGTTATCTACAATGAAAAAATTTTAAAGCAACAAGAAATTTAAAGAACAGGCTGATATCAATTTCTGATCCATAACACCAAATGCCAGCATGTAATGGAGCACCACCGATAGCAGTGGTACACAAAGCATGGCCTGGTCCACTAGTTGCTTTTTACTGGTCTGCAATAAGAAGAAATTAACAGGAAGCTTTTAAAAACTTTTATAGCAATTTGACATTGCCATGACATCCAAGCATGTGATTAGCAATTTATTTTTATTGTAGTTGACCAAAGTATCAGCCCATGGCAGATTGGAAAATTTTTAAAGAACTAATCCCTTGCCACAGATAGTGTGGAAAATAATGGATCTACAGAGTTCATTTCGAGGGCTAGACAGAGGCAAAACCATGATCTAAAATCTATATAACCACAAAAATGATCACTATTCCATTTCTAACAAAACAGCAGTCTAGATACCTGCAGAAACCCACCCAGTACAGAACATCTAGATTGTTGAGGGCAAAAAAGTTTATATCGTACATTTAACTGATTGAACTGGTAATATATTGACATGGTTCAAATCACTAAAAACATTAAGAGGTTCCCATAAAAGAAGTCTCCCTGTTACCCCTGCCCCCATCTGCCCTGTTTCCATCAATGCCTATCCAGCATTATTAGCTTTTACTTATTCGTCCAGAGATTTTTAAAGAGTACATATACATACTCTTTTTAAAGAGTACATAAATGTACATATTCATATATCATAATATATATAATTTTCTCCCCTTCTTTTTAATACAAGTATACTAAAAGCATGTTTTTAACTACATGATTGAACTGTTGGGAAAATAAAGGATCTCCAAGGTCAGAAATAAGGAGAAACCTCTCAGTGAGTGCTGGAGTTGATATTTGCCTCCCGGCCAACTACTGGTCCCTGCTGACCTAGAGATGGAGACAAGCCTGAGATAAGATTGAGAGGAAATCTGTTCTGAGAGCTGTGTATAAACCTGGAATCCCTGAAAGGCAAAGTAGAAAAATCCTGGCCAACAGAGGGAAGATGGAGATGCTCCCTATCATGGATGCAATCCTGGGTGAAGTAGAATAAAAGAAAACAGGCTTCCTGGAGAACATCTGGCCATGTGTGTTTCAGCCCAGAATGCAAACTACCTGTGCTGCCTGAACAAAACCCAAGAAGAGGAATGAGAGAAACCATCGCACATAACCACAAATATGTGAAAAGGAGCACATGATGTCTAGAAATGAAAATTATGATCACTGACACTGGAAACTCAAAACATAGGTAAAACAGAAGTTTGCATACACACACTTTGAGAGAACCAGAAGCAAAATTAAAAAAAAATTATGGGCAAAGAGAACTGATAAATACTGTATCTGGAATTTTTACTCAAAATAATTTTAAGCCAGATTATATCACAGAACCTTTAAAAAAATTATTATTTGTACCTCCCCTCTGTCTCTATTTTTCTCTAATATTTTCTTTCCATACCCCAAAGGGGTCAGCTAGCAGTGTACCTCTCCTGGTACAAATTACTTGAAATGTTTATCCAAACAATAAAAGAATATCCATTAAGTCACCAAACAAAAACATACCTAGCACTATGCTCAGCACACATTGGTGCTCCATGACTACTTCACGTTCACTTCTAAAAACATATTCTGAGCCCCAAAGATACACTGAACATTACCCTGCGAACTGGACATACAATGGTGAACAGAATTCCCTACTGCCAAGAAGTTGTGATTTAATGAGGAAGCTACACATGTATGGAAGCTCTTCTTATAAAACTCTTACAGATGTCACCAAAGCTTTGCCTTTTTCTTTTCATTCTAGCAATTTTTAATGACAGTTGTGTATAAGATTATTTTATTCCTGCATCTTCTCAATTGCTTCTTCCTTGTACTTGCCTTTGCCTTTCCTACTCGGTGAGATTGGGCTTTACGTTCAAGGAACTTTTTGCAGCTTTTGTCCAGTTTAAGCCCAGTGATAAGCACCTCACTGGGGTGAATGCCCACGTGGACAGCTGTGCCATTAGCCTTTCACTGCTGCACCGTTCAATGTAGATGACATATTTCTTCCTGTAAACCTGGGCTACTTTGCCCATTCGGTGACTTTTACAGTGTCCCCAAACAAGTTGAACGTCATCATCCTTTCAGATGAATATGGATTAAATACTGTACTTCTGCCTCAGCTCTCTGGAAAGATGAGAAGGCATTTTCTGTGAATGTAGGAAGGTGCGTTGAAATGCCTTTTGCGGTTCTTGCTTCCGTCAGAAGTCACAAATGGATTGAACTTCATTTTGGCAGCTGCCTCTTCAGTGATGGCCACAAAAGGGAAGAGCAAGAAAGCTTTGTTTTGGGGCAAGAATGTATTAACTTTGTCTAACTTCATCTGCCATACACAGAAATGATGCCTTTGGCCACGGCCAGTGTGTTGTAAACCAATTATAGTTTTATTTTTCAAAATGTGATCAATAGCCCATTTGTCTGGTGTCTCAAAAGTGGCCTTGGTGGTGGAATCCTTCAAGTGGCAGTATTATGAGCAGCTCTGGCAGGGTCCTACAAGGTAAACTGGTTTCAAACCAGTTTTTATGTGAGTGCCTCAGATCAGGGTTTCTGCATTACCTAGACAGTATGAACTTGTGCCTAAGAAACCTACCTATTACACAGGATTTCCCATGGGTGCTCATTTGTACTCTCGGCCTAGAGCAGATGACTTGCTTTCTGCCAGGATTTTGGGCACAACACTTTCTCAGTTCCAGGTTCTATACTGGGAATACAGTTCTACCTTCCTATTATGTGTTTGGCTTGCAGCCATGACCATTTGTTGGGGGGGGTACTTTTTATTGATGCATGCCATATACACATTGTAAAGTCATAATAAATATACAGCTAAAAGAATTTTCTCAAAGGAAGCTCTTGTGCGATCAGTACCCAGATCAAGAAATAGTACTAGCAGACTCCCAGAAGTCCCTGCATGTGCCCTTCTACTTAGCACCCTCCCCCAAAGGGTAATAATCACTTTCCTGACTTCAAACACCTAAGATTAGTTTTGCTGGTTTTAAAATTTTATATAAATAGAATCTCATAGGATATATGTTCTTTTATGTCTGGCTTCTTTTGCTTAACATTGTTTGTGAGATTGATCCATGTCATTACATTAATTATAGTTTATTCATTCTCATTACAATATAATATTCCTTGTAGTCATATATCACACTTTCTATTGATGGATATTTGGGTTGTTTACAGTTTGGGGCCATCACACATAAGGTACAGCTTTGTCTCTGTCCTTACCAAGTAATTAAAAACCCTACTTTTCCCTCAGACTTTAAATTTTGAAAAGATGCAGAAACACAGACTGGATTTACTCTCTCACTTGAAACAACCCCCCAAAAATCAGACAAAATATAGGAAACAACAGTTTTTTAAGATACTGGACATCAGGTAAAAGAGGACAGGGAGTCCTGAGACATGGAAAACAAGTGAGGTAAGTCCTACAGTTGCCCCAGCCTCCTGATTTGAGACAATTTCCAGGCCATGGTGCGGGCAGGGGGAACCAGGCAGAATACAGCAGACACTTCTGAATGAAAGAGATGAAGTTGAGAGTCCAGAAAAACAAAAATATCCCACACAAAACAAAGTGAACTTAAGAACGCCTCACATCTAACAAAAATTGCCAGGCATGCAAAGAACCTGGAAAATATAACCAATAATG